GCCATGCCGAGTTCGCCTTCTACCCGGGGTACCCGGCGCCCTACCAGCCTATGGCCAGTTACCTGGATGTGTCCGTGGTGCAGACGCTGGGCGCCCCCGGGGAGCCGCGCCACGACGCCCTGCTGCCCGTGGACAGTTACCAGCCCTGGGCCCTCCCCGGGGGCTGGAACAGCCAGGTGTGTTGCCAGGGAGAACAGAACCCATCGGGGTCCTTCTGGAAGACGGCGTTTGCAGGTAACCTCACTCCCTCCTCTGGGTCCCCTCGGCGCCAAGCCTGGGGTTGCAGACCCCGCTGGCACTTGGCTGGGAGGAAGAGGAGGAAGACCTGGGGCTGGGGAGGAGGAGTTTGGTGATCCTCTTGGGCTATTAGGACTCTGAAGGAGGATCCAGGTAGTCGGAGAGCCTGGGTGGAGGTCCCCCCAGGTCAGTGTGAGGGGCCGGAGCTGGGGACCATCTGCAGCCAGAGACCAACAGGCCCCTTCACAGATCCCCGGAGGCCTTGCCACAAGCTTTTCAATATATCCCAGTAGTTGGATGGGGCTTATTAGGGTGTTCCTACCCAACAGATCCCAGTTTAATTCCACAAAAAGGCTAAGTAACTCTCAATTCAGTGAGTGTGGGGGTGGGAAGGGGTGGGAACAGTTATTGGAAATTCTGTAAAGAACACAACCTCTCACTTTTTCTTTGATGAGTTTTTCAGTTTCCAAAGGAAAACTTAGATTTCCCTCAGTCATAACGTAGGTATGTGCATTGGTGTGTGTGTGTGTGTGTGTGTGTGTGTGTGTGTGTGTGTTGTGTTGGGAGTGGGAGCAGAAATGCGTTTCCTTCTGTACAGAATTTGCCTGTAGAATCTGTAAGAGTGGCCAAGAGTCTCAAATGCGCGAGGGTGGATGTATGTGACTGTGGGCAAAGGTCTGACTGTATGTAATGGGTGTATTTGCCAACTTGCTGGTGTGAGGGCAGGGATGGGTGAGGGTGGCTTATAGGAGCCTGCTCTCTCCAAGGCTGAGAGGTGATCAGAGAACCAGCCAGAAGCCCAGGTGTCCCTGGGTGCTTTGGGGGAGTGGAAGTGCACACAAGACTGCAGGGTGGCCTGCAGGGTGCCTTAGTTTCTGGGGCCTGGGTCTGTGTGTAGGTGGGATCTGAATGTGTCTTTCTCTCTCTCCCACTCCCATCTGGCAGACTCAAGCGCTCAGCACCCTCCGGAAGGCTGCACCTTCCACCGAGGCCGCAAGAAGCGCATTCCCTACAGCAAGGGGCAGTTGCGGGAGCTGGAGCGAGAGTATTCAGCTAACAAGTTCATCACCAAGGACAAGAGGCGCAAGATCTCGGTGGCCACCAGCCTCTCAGAGCGCCAGATCACCATATGGTTTCAGAATCGCAGGGTCAAGGAGAAGAAGGTCCTTGCCAAGGTCAAGACCAACGCTACTGCTACTGTGTGAGGGTGCTCCCTGGCTGGGGAGGTGGTGGGGGATGGTGGGTGGTATCTGGGGAGACCAGGAACCTGCCAAGGACAGGCTGGGACCCAGGACTCTGTTGAGGGGTCCCCAGAGGTGACACTTTTTTCAGGCCATGGCTCCTGTGCTGTTTCCCAGGGACAACCTGAGTACCCCATATGTCCCAGTGAGCCACTGAGGACCAAGTGAAAGCCTAATCTGCCAGAGTGACACCACCCAAAGGGCCTGTCCCAGTCATTAGCATTCCCCCTGGCAGTGGCGATACTCACCATAACCAGTACTAGTTGCCACGATAACTAGTCTCATACTTTCTACTAGAGCTCTGCGGAGCATTACAGAAACCGCTTTCATGGAATGAACTGATCATGAATAAACTTGGAAGGAGATGGTGACTGGGAAGCTTCCTGTGGATCCCCTTCCATTTCCAAAGCCCATCCCTCATCCCAGGGCCCGCAGGGGGGAGAGGAGATAAGGCAGGGTCACCCCCGTGGCTACATTGCCATTTAGCGTTTTTCTAAGATGACAGCAGGATGGACAATGCTAGAGGGAGCCTCTCTCCCCTTCCCTGCCCACCCCGTGGGTTGTACATACTGGTCCTTGTGTGAAAATGAAGCCAGCAGGCTGCCTCCCCTGGTCTATCTTCTTCTTCCAGAGAAATGGAGTTTGGCCAAGTGCCTGGATAATTCACCATTTCTCACTTCTGCCCCCAAACTTTCCTAGTCTTCCCCTAAGGTTCCTAGTGGTTCTGACCTAAACAGGTCATGGTTTATTGGACATTTGGGAGCCGCGTGAAACAGATGTCTGTGGTCTTCTAACGCAGCCCCTTCCAGGTACAACGAGTAGAATCCTACCCCACTGGCAAGTATGTCCCCAGCATGCTAGTAGAGCTGGGCAGGAGAGAAAACCCCAGAAAATGGCCCCATTTCCCACCCTTTCTCCTCTGCTTGCCTCATGACACCCAGAGGAGCATGGGGGCCCGTCAGCTGGGAGATGCACTAGGCCAGTGGTTCTCAACCTTCTGGCCCTTTAAATACAGTTCCACATGTTGTGACCCAACCATAAAATTATTTTCGTTGCTACTTCATAACCGTAATGTTGCTACTGTTATGAATTGTAATGTAAATATCTGATATGCAGGATGGTCTTAGGCAACCCCTGTGAAAGGGTTGTTCGACCTCCAAAAGGATCGCGACCCACAGGTTGAGAACCGCTGCACTAGGCCCTTATGTGGGTGCAAGAACTGAGGGTGGCAAGGTGACAGAAGCCCAAAGGTCCAGGCTCATGGTGGGGACACCATGCGGCCTTGGCGACAGTGGGCACAGACTTCCTTTTCTTTTCACTTTTCAGTCCATGTTTCCTGAACCCTGGGTGGGTGGATGGCGGGTTGGTGCCAACTGTTTTCCCTGGGCCATGCCGACAGAGACCATAGTGCGGAATTCCAGAAACCTGGGGGCGGACCGGTTGTTTCTGGAGCCAGAAACTCTCCGCCTCTGTGCCAGCTCCCTGATGTTCTGCACGGAGGCACAGCAACCGGTGGAACTTGCAGTCTTGGCTGCGGCAAAGCCAGCAGGTTCATGCTGGGTCTTCCTGCAGCCCGGCCTGGGGGATCTAGGTAGATACTCCAACAATCCAGCGCGCAGGAGTGAAGTGAAGAGGACCCGGTGGGACCCACTTCCAAGCCACCCAGAGACGCATGAACAGCCAGTGGAGTCTGCGGCAGCTCCCCCTCGGAGCCAGCTTGTAGTTCTCCCGGAAACCTCAGGATGACGGCTGCAGGCTGCAGCCGAGAAACCCGGGTATTTCCACCCTTCAGTGGGGTGGGATTCCAGTCCTGGCTCCTCTCCAGGGAACGAATTGGGAAGCCACTTGGACTCTTCTAAATCTGTTTACCAAAAAGCAACCAGGGCTAAGGGAAGGCCCCCAGCCCCCAGGTGAGCGGTCACCCTCCCTTCCTGGGTCTCTTAGAGTGTGAGTACTGGGGGGCGGTATGTGCCAATTTTGTGATTAAAAAAAAATCCATCCAAGCCCCGTGGTCCAATTTAAGCTCCTCCGTAAGTAACACTCCGGGCTCAGAGGAGGTTGCTTGCTGCCTCTCTTGTCCCCTTTCAAGTGAAGCCCCAAGCCAGCAGCTTTTAGTATCAGTTTCTCCAGGATAGTGTGTGCAAACCCCTCTCCCGCTGCTCCAGAAATGGCGAGACGTCAGCGCAGACAGGCGTGTGGGTGGGTGTGGGACAAATGACCCGGAGCGCCATGCTGCGGGGTCCCCACGTGCAGAGGGGAAAGGCCACAAGAGGGGTTGCCTAGGTAAGAAGGCCTGAAGGAGACTCTGGACTTCCTCCACTTCACTATCAGGGACTTGAAATTTCTGGGTTCCTCTATTATTCTCTGGAAATAATTTCAGAACGAACAAAAGATTTGAGATTTATTTCGCTACGAATGCGAGTTTGGACGATTAAAAAGACAAGGGCGCCCCCTTCCGGCTGAAGATCGTCATTCCAGGGAAACCTGCGGATCCGCTCCGCTGGAACCAGCAACCCAGCGCCTGGCTTCGCGGTGCCGGGAGCCTCCGGGGTTGCAGAGTTCCGGGCTGCGCGTCCTGCCCAGCGCGAGGGCCCGGGGTCGCCTGGGATTGGGCCACGGTATCGGCAGACGTGTCTGTCCAGACGCCAAGAGACCCCGGAGGGAAGCCAGGAGGGAAGCAGTACTGGCGATCTCGGAAGGAGAACGGACTCCGCGAGCAAGGCTGCGGCGCCATCTACCCTCGGGCCAGGTCCCGGTTCCCCTGGAAGATGAGAGCAGTTCTCTTCCTCGCCAGGACGATTTTCGGCGGACCGCCCACTGTTTTTCTGAGTGCTTTACTTGTACGTACCCTGAGGGGGGGAGGGGTTGTTTTAAGTGTTGTTTTGTATTAAACCTTCTTTTAAAAATCACCAAACACCAGCTTTACTCCTGAGGCGAATTCTAACTGCCCGCCACCATGACCGACCATTTAAAAATCTCTCACTAATTCGTGTCTAAATTGCAACAAAATTCACCCATCCATATTTACTTGCCTGCAGCTTTGCTTTTTAATTAGGGCCCTTTTAAGCTATAAGAGAGAGGGTTTTGCTAACATTATACAGACTAAAGCCTGTAAACCCAACGTTGAGAAATAGGTAAATTCAGACAATCTTAAGGACACATCACGCACAGGTGCACAGACACTCTCCGGAAAGCCCACCGGCGTCTTCACCGACAAGCGGTAATTTTCCTCGGCCCCGCGCTCCCCGAGCTCCCCCTCCCTCGGAGTCGTGGCTCGCGCCTGCGTGGCTCCGGGAACGCGATCACTTCGACCTGCAAACCAGGTGGATTTTATTAGGCGCCCAGGGGCCGACTTAGGGGGTAAGAGTGACGAGGTGCTCAGACGCGCCCCCGGGAAGCGTTTGTTTTTGGAATCTCGGTGCCCGCACGGCCCCGCGGAGAGCGCCCCCGGGAAGCGTTTGTTTTTGGAATCTCGGTGCCCGCACGGCCCCGCGGAGAGCACCCCCGAGGCGCCAGGCCCGGGATCCTGTGCTCATCCTGGCAAACGCGCCGGGCCTGGCCGCCCTGGAGCTCGCGAGGCCCAGGCGGCCGTGTGTCTCTCTGCACCGCCGCCCCCCACCCCGCTCCACGGGTCACCCAGACTCTGAACCGTTCCAGGCCCAGAAGCTGTACCCGCGGAGGAAAAGGGCCCCGATCGAGCCCCCAGTTCTCTGGCTGGCCCCGGCTGCCTCCTCTCCTCCCCTTCGTTAAAGTTTTATTCAAGGTCCTAAGTGCTGCCCTTTAATTAGGTTTTCTTGAGTGGGAGGCGGGGTGGGGGTGCTCCTTGTGCTTTCACCCCAAGAGTTACAATCCTGAATGAAATGGATGAATCCGTTACCGTCGACTTGAAATAAAGCGCGGAGGCGACTCCTGCGGAGGGGGCGAAAGGAGGTTCCCTTGTTTTGAAAGAAATGCATATCATATTCTCACCCACTCTCTGGGAAAGAGGGGAGAAGGCCCCAGAGCGGCCCTCAGCCTCTCATCCCGTGGGACGCCCCCCCTCCCCGCCCCCGCCAGGGCCTGGAGATTTTAAAACATCCAAAGGGGGTGCCAACTTTTCTTCCTCTCTCAGCTACTAGCTGTTTCTGCGTAGAAAGAGGGTGGGGTGGTTGGGGCAAAGGGAGAAAAAACGAGTTCCACCGCTGCCCCCCCCCCCAAGAGAGGGATAGGGGGCAACAGGAGTTCAATCGTCCCCAGAAGGACGGGAAGGGGAAGGCGGCGTCTAGCCGGCGCCCAAAGGGGAGGGGAGGGTCAGGGACATTGCCATTGAACTTGAAGCTTCAGGCCCCACACCCCCTGGGCTAAAAGCTTTATGGGAAGAAGGTGAGGGAAGGAGGGGGGCGCGCCTCTGGCCTTGGGTTAGGAGGGAGGAGGCCAAGCGGCCAGAGAAGGGCCAGCGGACAGGCAGACGCAGAGGTTGGCCGGGAGCCTCGGTCTGCCCTGGAGAGGACACTAAAGTCTTCGCCCGGCTCGCAGCCTCCCTGACCTCGAGGTGGGGAGCCGCGGGCTATGGCGCCCTCTCGCTCAGCCTCTGCCCGGTGGTGGTGGTGGTGGGGGGGCACCCAGAGCTGCGTTCCTGTTCTTCCTCCTCCAGCTTAAGGGGCGGGGGCAGAGCCCCGCGTCACGTGGAGGCTGAACCCCCAGGCCAGCCGCGCGGGGCTCGGGGTCTCCAGGCAAACTGAATTCGCTCCTGGCGTTTGCAGGGAGAACAAGAGTGTTATGCGCCCATTTCTCAGACCAGAGACCGGCCTGAGTGCTTCCTCCAAAGGTGCTTTACTCCCTAACAAGGTAAACTGCCTGATCCGCAGACCACGGCCCCTGGAGGGGGCCCCCTAGGAATTCGGGGGCCTCAGCTCTAGGGTAGGGCCGGGAAAGGCGGTAGTCAGGCAGCTCCTAGCGACCACCCAGCGGGGGGCCCTTCTTGT